TGCAAGAAATGTTAAAAGAGAAAAAAAATTTTAAAAAAACGTTGAAAGAAGGAAAATGATATAAGTCCGAAATGTGGACCTATGTAAAATAAGAGGGAGATTCAAAAAAGGTAAAATAACATGCTTATTTTTTTAATTCTTAATTGATTTAGTAGCTATTCGAAGTAAGAATATATTAATGTGTTGGATAATTATAGAAAATGGATACATGGTATGAATGACAGCAAGAAGAATTGAGAATACTGTTATGAGTTATCTGCACTACCGTTATGCAGTATAGTTTTACTTCAAAGAGGACTTAGATTTATTGTAAATGTATATTTTAAACTCCAGGGAAATCACTAATTTTTTAAAGTAAATATCTATATAATATATTAATATATAATAAATAAATATAACAAATTAATATATTTATATGTGATATATTATATCATATATAATATAAATAATATGATATATTATTTATAGTAATATAACATTATATATTATATATTAATTATTATGTTTATCAATATATTATATATAATAAACAATATATTATATTATAAATATATTTATATTATAAAATAATATATTATAAATATAATATGTAATATATAAAATATATTTATATATAATATATAAATATAATATGTAAAATATAATATGTAATATATAATATATTGCATATAAAATATGTAATATATAATATATAAAAATATATTATATTATATATGATATATAATATATTATATATAATATGATATAATATACATATTTATAATTATAAATAAATTATATATAATAATATATACTCTATTATCTATAGTAATATATAATATATATTATAAATAAATATAATATATATTATAAATATATATTTTATAAAATAAATATATAAAAGTAAACATATAAATATGCCAACAAAGAAGATAAAATAAAAATAATAAAATATAAATTAAAACGAGAAAGCAGAAAAAGAGGGAAAGAACAAAAGTACAATGACTATAAAACAGCTTTAAACGTGGTAGATAATAATCCATTTATATCACAAATCACTTCAAATGTGAATGACCTAAATACACCAATAAAATGACAGTGATTATAAGCATAGATTAAAACCAATATCCAACTATACGTTGCCTAGAAGAAGCCCAATTTAAACGTAAAAGTCCTCTAGAAACAACCTTTCCGACACGTGGGAACCAGTTACCTGAGGACCTGTGGATTGCACCACTCAGTGCAATGCTGCTGAACAGCCAGTCTGACTTGGCATCTCCTTTGGCAGAATTACAGTACAGAATTTTTAGGCCTGGGGATGGTAGTTCCACTCCCTACTTTGTTTCTGGCTGTCCTCAAGCATATATCTCCCTTCAGGCATTTATGATGTTTCCAGTGGGGCTGAAGCAGGGACAGGTCTCCTGCCAGGGAACCCAGGATGGTGGGGAAGCTGATCACTCACCTGGATCTTACTTTTTCCATTGTAAAAACCATGAGTTGGAAGAATGTTTTTTTATACTTGGTACCAGGCAGATTGAATGGGGGCAAAAAGGAGTGTCCTGTGTTGAAGCAATTGGATACCTATATACAAAATAATGGCTTGAGACCTATCAATTCATTATATCACAGTCCTCCTAAATGAAGAATATAAAATTAAAAGCTCTAAGAGATAACATGGGAGAAAATCTAAGTGGCCTTGGAATTGTTGATGAGTTTTTAGATACAATACCAAAGTGTAATTCCTGAAAAAAAATTGGTAAGTTGGACTTCATTAAAATTATAAACTAGTGTTTTGTGAAAGAAATTGTTAATGGAATGAAGACAAGCCTCAGACTAGGAGAAAATATTTGCCAAACACATATATGATAATCCCAATATAGAAAATAATTTTAGAAACTCAACAGAATGAAAATAAACAACCCGATTAAAAAATGGGCAAAAGATCAGAACAACTCATAAAAGAAGATACACGAAGATGGCAAATAAACCTATGAGTATTGGCTTAGCATCACGCATAAGAAAATTGCAAACTGAAACAATGAGCTATCACCACACACCTATTAATATGGCTAAAATTATAAAAGCTAACACCAAATGCTGGTAAACATGAAAGACAACAGGAGGAGCTGATTGCTGGTGGGAAAGTAAAACAGTACAGTCACTTCTGAATACTGAAAATGAATAATTAAGAAAATAGATGACAACTGGGGGCCAGGTTTCTCATAGATGGAGTGAGGATTTTCAGACAAGAAATGAGAGGACACTAGAGTGATCCATGTGGTAATAAATTATAGTTGGAGACATTAGTATGAACTCTGTTTAGCTTAATATAGATATAGATCGTTACCAGAAAAACACACATACATGCCCACACATACAGACAGGTTAGTGTACGCATATATGCTTCCTTTGCCAGTTAAGAGGGCCTAAGGGAAATGATACCCCAGTGGTAAGGGCCATACCCAGTTCCCAGTTCTTAGTTTCTAATACCATTCTCCAATAAGATGAAACAGGAGTCCTTGAAGAAATTGTTAATTCTAGGACTCGGGCAGGAAATATACAGGATGAGCCTGGAGTATCTTGTAGTGTCAGAAAGTAAGGAATATGCAAAAACAAAACAAACTGAACATAAATGCATACATAAAAATAAAATTTAAAATAACCCACATTGATGGAAATATATTTTAAGGAACACAGGAGCCAATGAAAGAGCTCACAATGGCCAAAGCTGGAACAATCTGAACAAATGAAGTACTATTGGGTTGTAGCTCAAAGTAAAAAATAATGAGTCATGAGTCCATGCTGATATAAATAAATGGGGTGGGAACCAATCTGTACTGAAAATTCCAAATAATTTATGAACTTATGTAGATTCTCCATCCTCAATGATGGGAAGCTTTACATTCCACTTTTTAGTGGTGAGCTTTGCATAGTGACTTCTTCCAGAGTACAGTACAGAAGGGGGCACGGGGGAGGGTGAGGAGAGTAACTTTACAGTGGTGAAACTGACACACATTGTCTCAGCTAAGCGATTGAGTTTAATGGCAACTGTGATGTGTTATGTCTGATATACGTATACTTTGTATGACGTGGTGAGAATGAATGACGCTTATTCATTGAAGATCACAGTGAAGATGGTCGATGACCACAGTCTTCCTCTGCGATCTTCCTCCTGAAAACCCGCACCCCATCTAATCATGAGAAAAACATCGAATAGAATACAAATTGAGGGATATCCTACAAAACATTTGACCAGCACCTCTCACAATTGTCAAGATCGTCAAAAACAACAAAAACAAAGATTGTCTGAGGAATGGACTCTGTCAAGGGAGAAGCCTCAGGAGACAAGACAAGCACTCTCAATGTGAAATGCTGCACAGGATATTGAAACAGCAAAAGGTTATTAGGCGAAACTAAGGACATTTGAATAAACCAAGAACTTCAGCTAATAATACCATATCAAGTTGCAATAATTTGTAGCAAATGTACCCTACTCATGTAAAATATTAATAATAGGGGTAACTGTGTGTGGATGATATGAGAACTCCAGTATTTTCTTAACTTTTCTACAAATCCAAAACTGTCCTGAAAAAGTCTATTTTTTAAACATCGACAAGAAAATTTGCACACACACTGGGTGCTTCTGATTACTGTGCCTTCCGTCCCCAATCTACCTTCCCAGTCCTGCCCAAGCCTGCTGTTAGGAGGACTTGAGCCTGCCTTCTCACGGTCTAAGTCATGAGAACCACCGACAAGTGCTGACCCAAGGACGGTTGTGGTTAGAACCGAATTTTAAGTAGAACACCCTGTCCTCTGGGTGATGAGTGGATTGCAGGGTGTGTGGAGATAGAGAGCAAGAGAGACCAGCTGGAAGGCTGTTGCAACAATTCAAGTAAGAAATGACTTCAGGCAGAGCTCAGAAGGTATTGGTCGATATCGAGGACATGATCCTTGATGGGGGTGCGTGGGGAAGAGGAGGAAGAATGAGGAATAATTGTGAATGCACAGATGGCAGTGGCGGTTTTCTTACCTCAAAGAGAGAACACCTAAGGAGGAAACACAGTGAGTGCTGCTGGGGTTGGGTGGGGAGGCAGGAATGCCAAGTGCTTGTGCTGTGCAGATCTGGACACCTCAGTAGGGAAGTCTCTGATATATCCTTGTGCCTGCAGTAAAATAGCTTTGATAGCTTGAGACGGCCTGCCTAAAATGTGGTGGTTAAATAATTAAAAGTGAGCAATTTGAAGAATTAAAGGCAGCGCTTTTCTCAGGAAAGGAGAATGCCTGGTCCTGATATGACTGATGGCCATAAAGACTATGGAGATGTCCGGGAGCCAGGTAGCAGAAGGGTGACATCTGCAGCGGCTGGGTCTGTATTTCTCCAGCTTGGTCAGTAGTTTTGGCTTCCATGACTGCACTGGCCTAATGTTTACTTCCTTTAATAATGCTGTCACTTTCCCTCAGAGACAATCTGGAAAACCTCCTCTCCCCACCTTGCCCAATTCTATTTCTATTGCTTTCTAAAGTCTTCCTCAGCCAAGCAGGGAGACCATAAGGCTTTTGGAAATCATGAGAGAAAACCCAGGCAGAAGAGCCTGGAAATGTTTCCAGGGAAGAAACCAGAACCTAGATGGAGCCCCCAGGTTTTCGTAGCATCTTCTCAGTTCCCATCCTGAGAGGAGCTGAGTTGGGAGCAGAAGGTGGGCTCTGCCAGGGGTTGGGTGGGGTGTTGCGGTGTAAGGTCGTGTTGGGTTGGGATACAACCAGAGCCATGTATCTACGTTCCATGACTGGCAAGTGCTGTTTTCAAGTGCGTAAGTGAAGTTGGTTTTGTTTCTGTTTGATTTGGGTTTTATTTCTTTTTCAGGAACTGTTGGATCTATTGAGTGGTTTGGGGACCAAAATTTAAAAAAAAGATTAAGATGTCTGTCCTCCTTTGAGAAAGGGCCACAGGAGTCTCTTGCAGCCATTGATCCATACACAGGTTTTTATGTGGTGAGACAAGAAAAAGCTAAAGCGAATAGAGGATCCCAAGACTTCCAGGATTTATTATGTATCATTGTACACACTCACTGATTCAGCTTCAATACTGGGGGAGTAGAGATTCCTATTGTAACAGTAATCCCTCAAGTAGTGGCTCTGCTCACCTGAGCTTGGGATTGGGCTCATTGAGGGTGGCTCTGGACAATAATTCCCTCTCTCCCTCCCCCTCACCCCATTGAACAGACATGTGGCGGGACAGAGTCAAGTTCACAGATGAGACGGGACACCTAGGGGACCCGAAATAATTGGATCAGTGGCTCTCTCTTCTCTTGTATGAGATGATCGGAGGGCCTCTGGACACTGCAGGTGGTTACTTATGTTGTCACTGCGCCTCCTGCTGCTGCTGCTGCTGCTGCTCTACAGGAAGCAACACTTCTCCCTTTGGGGGCAGGGCTTGTTGGATGTCTTGGACCTGGCCTGGAGCTGGGGCAAACACGGGCTGCTCCAGCTGTCTCTCCTGCTGTTCCGGGTCCTTCAGCTGCCCCTTCTGATGCTCCTGAGGTTTTAGCTGCTCCTCCTGCCGCTCTGGGTGCTTTAGTTGCTTCTCCTGCTGCTCCAGGTGCTTTGGCTGCCCCACCAGCTCTGGGAGCTCCAGCTGTGCCTCCTGCTTTCCCAGGTGCTTCAGCTGCCCCTCCTGCTGCTCTGGGTGTTTCAGCTGCTTCTCCTCCTGCTCCAGGTGCTTTGACTGCCCCACCTGCTGCTCTGGGAGCTCCAGCTGTCCTTCGTGCTGCTCCAGATGTTTTAGCTGCCGCTCCTGCTGCTCCAGGTGCTCTAGCTGCCTCTCCTGCTGCTCCAGATGCTTCAGCTGTTCCTCCTGATGCTCTAGATGCTTCAACTGCTCCTTCTGCTCCCCCAGGTGCTTCACCTGCCCCTCCTTCTCCTCCAGCTGCTTCAGCTGCCCCTCCTGGTGCTCTGGGTGCTCTAGCTGCTTCTCCAGCTGTTTCAGGTGCTTTGGCTGACCCACCTGCTCTGGGAGCTCCAGCTGCCCCTCCTGGTGCTCCAGATGTTTCAGCTGCCCTTTCTGCTCTTCCAGGTGCTTCAGCTGCCTCTCCTGCTGCTCTGGGAGCTCCAATGGCTTCTGCTGCTCCAGGTGCTTCAGCTGCCCCTCCTGTTGCTCTGGGAGCTCCAGCGGCTTCTCCTGCTGCTTCAGGTGCTTCAGCTGCCTCTCCTGCTGCTCTGGGAGCTCCAGCTGCCCCTCTTGCTGCTCCAGGTGTTTCAGCTGCCCCTCCTGCTGCTCTGGGAACTCCAACAATTGCTCTTTCTTTGTTCCCAGTTGTGCATCTCTCTTGGCTAGCTCTTGATCCAGTTGCTGGTCCAAGAGCTTCTTCTCTTCTTCCAGCTGTCCCTGTAGCTGCTGCTTCTCCCTTTGTGCTTTCTCCTGCTGAAGCTGTTGCACAGGGTTTTCTGCTTTCTGATGTTCCTTATCCTGCACCCAGTGCTGTTGCTGCAGTTCCTGTTCCAGTGGTTGCTGCTGCTGCTCACATTCTTGCTCAGGCACTCCCTTTACAGTAGTCATGTGTTTTTCCTCATGCTTTGACGGGCCCTCCACTGGGAGCTCGACAGGCACCTTCTGGCACGGAGGAGGCAGTGGAGCTGGCTGCTTCCTTTGCTCCTGCTGGGTAGTGACTGGAGGAGGAACAGTGTCGAGGAGCTCCTGACTGAGGGCAGGGGGGAGGGTCACTGGCAGTGTGTGTTGTTGGGACATCTTAGAAGCTGCTGTCAACCTGAAAGGCAGAGGGATCTGATGCACAGACGGAAGGCAAAGGAAATAGATGAAACCTTGGAAATCTGCAGAAGTACATGGTTTGGTTTCTTAGCATCCCCTCTTCCCTTGAGCAGGGTACTTAGTATTCTACCACCTCTGGACTAGCATTCCCCCAAAGCATCAGAGAGTGAAGGGTGGAAATGGGGAGGGGCATGGAAACGTCCTCCTAAGGAGCCTCCTTGTTCCCAGGGGAGAGCCAACAGGGAGATCTGTCTGCAGGGCTATTCTGCAAGGGTGCCGGCTGCCGTCTCACTGTCTGCTCTTGTCTAGTCCTTGTGCCCACCCTCACCACTCCACGGACCAAGTAGCAGAGATACATTCTGGGATTATGTCACAGTGAGAAGTAAGGCATTAGGGAACAAACATTCTCTTAGAGGACACCAAGTCCAGAAAGCCAATAGGCTGTGCCAGAGAGGATCCGAGAAGTCATGACATGAGCTCCAGACTGGAGCCACATGACCTATTCTGGGCCCACATCTCTCACTGAGTGCTGTGTGTTTCTGGGTGAGTCACTTAGTCTCCTGGGCCTTGGATTTCTCCTCTGCAAAGCCAGCAGGTTGGCCTGTCCAACCCCAGGGCTCCTTTCTCTCCTGACCTCCTGAGGTTTAGCTGCAGTCCTGGTGTCTGGGGTGGGGCTGAGGGGAACTGGAACGTTGCTGAGAGTTGGCCCTCGTTCTTTCAAGTCTCATACTTCTAAGTTGGGTTTTCCTGCCCCTGCTCTGCCCAGGTTTCTCCAAATAGAAAGTTTTCCCTATTCTGCAGTCCCCTCTGTGCAGCATAGCGCCCCCCCAAAAAAGGTAGAAGGTTTTCCCTGAACCCCTTGCCTCTATAAAGAAGGCAAAAGGATGGTCAGTCTAAACCCAAGAGGTTTAGGAAAGAAATTGACTGTGATTTCCCTTCTCCCTTCCTTCCTTCTCTCTCACACACAAATCCAAAAATATGGTCACAATAAGAGACAGGACATAGGATGGCTACTCTCTATTCTGCATTTCTGAGTCAAAGCACTTTTTTCTCAGTACGGTGACCTGAGTCCCCCTAGAAGGAAAGTCCAGTTGAAACCAGCCCCAGAACAATGCCCACCCCCACCCAGGCCGCCCACCCTAACCCCATTGTATGCTGTTGGAGGTCCCAAGTCCCAGCCCTGGTTCTGCCATCTAACACTTACCAGACTCACAGTAAGGCTGAGGCGGAGGCTCTGGTGGAGTGCTGATCTAAGCAGGAGTCAAGGCACTCATATTTATATCATCCTCCAGCCTGGCCTCCCTCCAGGTTGAAGGTGATGGACAGGTTTCACCGCTCTAGTTGGTCAACTTCCTCTAGCCCCTTCCTGACTCACCACAGGCATCGGAACAGCAACCCTTCAGGGCCCCATTCCCAGGGACACATAGCTCCTGCCTGGCCAGATGGTTCTGGGAGCCCAACCCGTGACGCTTTTCTGACCTGGGCGCAGGGAAGATGAGGGAGGCATCCTACTGTTTTGTGACCTCAGCCAAACTTCTGCTCTAAATCTCAATTTTTCTACTTTCAAAATGAGTTTGTTCTCATTATTAGGCCGAGAGATTCACTTTCAAGGTCATGAAATGGAAAGTTATGTGTCTTTCGGGGATGTCCAGTCTGGGTTATGTGCTTTGAAGATAGAAAGGTTCACTTCCCATGAAGGGGTGGTATTTCTGGGGCATTCTCTTGGGCCACGAACCCATCTCTCTCAGAACATATTTTAAATTTCATTCTGTATGGAAATAAACTCTGTCTTTGGTCGTGGGTGTGGGGCCGGGGGAGGTCTGACTTTAGGCCAAGTAGAGTCAGGTAGAGGAGACTTCCAGCCTTCATGCCCGAGGCTGCAGATAGAGAAGTTCTCAGGAATGCCATGATCACAAGAACTCCTAAGCATGGCCCACTCTAGGCAAGGAAACAGGATTGAATATATACAATGTAAAAATAAGTATTGCTTTTTATAATGACAAATCAAACAGCTTTCTTAAGTACTTTTTAAAATTCATGAAGATACAAACATCAGAATCAAATTGTCCATTGACTGTTCTAAACCATGCTCTAGAAATAGCTTAAGAAATCTTTCAGAGTGGGCATTTCAGCACTCCTCTCTCCAGTGCCAACAGTGAGCCAGCACACTTGAAATAACATCCAAACTCCCAGTTGTGGTTTAAAAGGCCCTGGGTACCTGGCTTCTGCCTTTCTCTGGGGCCTCAATTCACGTGTCTCTATTCCTACCTCGAGAAGGGCCTTCAGTTCCTGAGATGAGCCCAGAGCTCCCCACCTGAGGGCTTTGTACCTGCTCTCCTTCTGCCCACAGGCCCCTCCCCAGGTCTCTGGCTCTTTTATGCCTTTCGGCTTCAGTGTCAATGTTGGGATCTGTCAGAGATCCTTCTCTGTGTCTTGAATCTGAAGGATTGGTACTCCATTTCACCTGTAGCTGTCTAGAGTTATTTTATTTGCATTTGTTCACTTGCTTCTTGTCTGTCTCTCCCACTGGAAAATAAGATAAGAGCAGGGTATACCTGGTATCTTTTCCACTGTGCCCCTAGGACCTATCAAAACCACTGCATATAATATGTGCTCCACAAGTATTCATTGAAGAGCAGTGAATTTTGCCACCAGAAAATGACTATTAAACATTTTAGGGTTGATCAATGTTTGTATGTGTGTGTCTGTGTGTGTAAAAACAAAACTGATTTACTTCTTCCCTTTCTTTTTAATGGTTGGTTAATAGTTTATTTTATGGACATCATTCATTTAAACTCTCTTTTTTACAATCTAATAAAAAAAAAGAAGGAATTATAAAGACAATACTCAGCAGGGCTAATTTTGAGAAGTGTGCTGATTTCTCATAGTTTTCCTGACAGGCACCTTTCTCTTAGCCCCAAGTAAATCTATTTAAAGCACTGATTTTGTCACAATGCTAGATCATGTCTGAAAAGAAAGATGGAGGACTCACAAGGGACCCTTGATTTCTACAATGCTATCCTCTCCTCATGACCTCTCTGTTCCCTGAGCCCACTCAGGGACCTTATGTTCTTTTTTTCCCATAAAACAGGGACTGTGCCCTTTTCTGGGGCAGAGAAAGCACACTACCTTGAATAACTAATCAAGCATTTGCCTTTACTAAAACCACTCTGCCTTGAATAACTAATCAAGCATCCTCACATGGGCACGGATGCCCTTGTGCTCTGCTGCTGACCTCATCTGGGGGGAATCTGCCCCTTCCCAGCCAGTGACAGTCAGTCTAGGGTAGCAGACTCGGATCAAGGAAGTCACACCGGTCTTATGGGTTAGCAGGGGCTCAGTATCTGCCAGATCTGCCTTCCACTCGCTGACTCACGGCATAATGAGAGCCTTAAGGAGAAGATGGTATGTGTGAGCCTTTGACTGCTGGGCAAAGCTACGGTGTGGGAAACAGGGCAGTGGATAAAGCTGAGGGAGTGTTTGTGTGCGTGTGTGTGTGTGTGTGTGTGTGTGTGTGTGTGTGTGTGTGTGTATGCAAGGGAGGGGTCAGGGAAACCTCAACATTCTAGGGCTCAGAAGCCCCATATTCTGCCCTCAGGTTGCCCCATTTGGGAGATTGTATATGGGGGCAATTCTCTCTCTGCCCGCGTGAATGACCTCATAAGCTCCATTTCCACATGACGGGTCTGGGTAACTGTCCAGACCCCACCCAGCATAACGAGGATGAGCTCATATCCCATGACACATGGAGAAGCTTTGGCTCCAACTCTGCCCTGGCTCAGGGATGCCCTGGTTATTTCACATTTGGAGGCAGAAACTGGCTGGGTTGTCTCTCCTGAGTGAGGCAACCTATTTGAACTGCTACTTAGTTATAGAGGGACAGAAGAAATTGGTCATGGTGATTCCCCGTCCTGTGGGGAGGGGTGCTGAGGACAGTTCTTAGCAGGTTGCCATAGGGGTCCTGGAAGATGGTCCTGGAAGGTGACTTGGGCCAGGAAATCGTGTATTCCCGTCTCGGGTAGCCATGCTTCATCTGCTTCCTGGCATGGCACTGCCACACGCTCTGAGGTTGCCAGCCTCCTTCCCCTCTCGCAGGCCTCCTCCTCTCCCGAGGGCACTGCCTCCTACATCGGCAGCTCTCAGTCCGAAACCTGCACTAGTTGCTTCCCAACATACTTTTTTTTTTTGAGACAGAATCTTGCTCTGTCACCCAGGCTTGAGTGCAGTGGCGTGATTTTGGCTCATTGCAACCTCTGCCTCCCTGTTTCAAGCAATTCTTCTGCCTCAGCCTCCCGAGTAGCTGGGACCACAAGCATAAGCCACCACGCCCAGCTAATTTTTGTATTTTTAGCAGAGATGAGGTTTCACCATTCTGGTCAGGCTGGTCTTGAAATCCTGACCTCGTGATCCTTCTACCTTGGCCTCCCAAAGTGATGAGATTCCAGGTGTGAGCCACCATGCCCATCCCTCCCCACAAACTTTGAATGCTCCTAGTCTTCTTCCATTGCCTCCTGGGCCTGACCTTGGCTCCTCACTTACCTTCTGTGCTGGTCTACTGTTCATAAAAGAGATGTGAGACGGCCGGGCGCGGTGGCTCACGCCTGTAATCCCAGCACTTTGGGAGGCCTAGGCGGGTGGATCACAAGGTCAAGAGATCGAGACCACCCTGGTCAACATGGTGAAACCCCGTCTCTACTAAAAATACAAAACATTAGCTGAGCATGGTGGCGCATGCCTGTAATCTCAGCTACTCAGGAGGCTGAGGCAGGAGAATTGCTTGAACCCAGGAGGCGGAGGTTGCGGTGAGCCGAGATCGCGCCATTGCACTCCAGCCTGGGTAACAAGAGCGAAACTCCGTCTCAAAAAAAAAAAAAAAAAAAAAAAAAAAAAAAAAAAAAAAAAAGAGATGTGAGACTAAGAAAGGCCAAGAGAGCTGACTCATCGTTTCTGGGCTTCTGGGTGGACCCATCTGTCCTGACCTGCTTTCCTCTCTTACATCTTCTTACAGCTTTCTCTCCTGGGCCTGTTGATTGGTGGATCTCAGTCACCAGTGCTGGCCTTTGCTCCTGGATCTGAGAGCTGTGGAAGGACAGCCACAGCTCTGCTCTAGGTGGCAGCAAGAGGAGCCAAGGTGCAAAGGCAGTCAGTAGTAGAGAAAAGAGACTCAGTGCCCGCTTCTCCAACTAAAGGAAATTCCCTCCCTTTTGGGCTCATTGTTGGGGAAACCACATTTTGCGTAGTTGACTCTCTGTGCCAGAAGACAGCAGAACGTCTGAGATGGAAGAGTCGTCAGAGAATGCATGGAAATGCCTCACGCTGTGCCGGGTGCATAGGAGCTGGTTTATTTATGTATCTAATAATAATTTAAATTCACAATAAGTAAATTCATGGAAACAGGAAGCAGATTGATGGTTGCTAGAAAATGAGGCGAGGAGAGAATGGGATGTAGCTGCTAATGGGATGATGAGAATGCTATAGAATGACATAGGGTTGGTGGTTGCACAATATATGAATGTACTAAACACCACCGAACTGTTCACTTTTAAATGGTAATTTTGTGTTATATGAATTGTACCTCAATAAAAAAAAGAAGTAACGCCTTTTCCTAATAGCAGGTCACACGGTAAAGTTGTTAATATAATTGATGCGTCCATTCAACCAATACTTACTGAGCATCTCTTATGCGCAAGGCACTGGAAATAGGGCTATGAATAGAAAACACACACAGTCCCTGCTTCGAGTAGCTTAGAAGGTAGGCACTCCTTAACACATAGGAGCTGCTAAACACACATATGCCTGCCTGCTCGCCACCATTGGGGCTCATCTGCCTTCTGAGGAGAATTGAAGTCTGGAGAGAAAAGGAGTTGCCCAAGAGACTACAGTGAGGCTGCGATAGAGCCAGGCTGGAACCCATGTGTCCTGACCTTCAGTCAGGGGCTCTCCTCCCCATCAGACTACCTTGCTAGGTGCTTGAGCATCTGATGGCTGTGACAGGTTTCACTGGGTGACTTCAAAGACACATTCCAGCTCTGTGAGTTAGTCATTTACCCCAACATGGTCAGTTCTGGGTTTTCTGGAGGGAGTGCCAGTTTTCTCTCGCTCTCACTCAGCCAAAATGCCCTTGGGGTGACCCTCTTTGGTCCTGGGAAGAGGGAGCTCCACTTCTGGGCTGGGTCTGGTGTTTAAGTTATTTCAGCCTAATCCAATCTGGAGGAGAGTTTCTGTTCAATGGTGAGCACTGGCTTTGCT